CCCCACACAAAACTCTTGTCCCCCCCCCCCCCCCCATAACACAAAACACTTTTCTGTTGAACCAAATCTATATCAAATATCAGGAAACAGTACCACACACTGACAATGACATCAGGTAAAGTAATTAACAAACACTGACTTCTATCCTATTTTCATAGGGCCCTTACACTTCCAGTAATGAAGGTAATATTCTTAGCTATTATCTTACCAGGTTTCACAATACCGTTAAACCTCTTTGGCACAAAATAAAACATCAGCTCCATGGGTGGGCATTCCTCATTGTCCTGCTCTTTCCAAGGTGATCCGATCTGCTACATGGCTAAAAGCTCTTCTTAGGGAGACTCTTCCAGACGGCAAGAACAAGATGGCATCAGAGCTGATGATCCCCCATCTTTCTAGGGCACCAGGCTCCCTGACCTCAGGGTAGTCACCTTGTTCACCCACCCTTCTCCCAGGATGCCAGCTCACAGTGACCCTAAAAAACATAGCCAAGGTCCTTTCCCCCAACCCTTCACTGGAGAGAGAAGAGCATTACTACCCAAGTAAAGGCAAAAGGAGAAACATACTTGATGCTGATCGCCCATCATTTGGTCTCCATTTAGCATACAGAAGCAATTGCTTCAGAGAAAAGAGGAGGAGAGCAGCTGGATGAAAACAGAGACACCGCAGTAGGGCTGGGTCACAGAAAGGAGTACACCAGGCTAGATACTGAACTCAACACAGGGCACAGGAACTATCCAGTTGCACAAAGCACCTACGATTGCAATTCTCCAAGCACGTTGGTCAACGGCTCACCACTATGCAAACTCTTCCAATCTGAACTCCAAGTCCGATTATCTCTGCCTTTGCTGATTGCCCACTTGAGGAGCTAACCAGGCCAGCACCAAGGTCCCTGCGCTTACACAAACACACACTGATGGCGGCGGGTTGCAGGCAAACTCAGCTGTTCACCACAGGATTTACGCACAGGAGCGCTTAACAGGAAGCATGTCACTTGAAACATATTCTATTTGCATTAACCTATTAGCTTAACAGAGCAACCGCTGTCAGCGTTATGCGGTTCACTAACTAGCAGGGAGTACTCGAGTACATCATGACAATAAACCCAGCGGTACCACAATTCTTCGACCACAGCACATTCTTAATGATACCTGTCAATATTTTGATAATGAAATTAAAGAGTAACAGCATAAGCAACAGGACAATAAAACATTCATTGCATCATAATCACGAGTCATAAGGAAAAATATATACTGGTTCCCCCAGATACTCAAGAAAACCATGACTTCATACAAGGTCATATTTTTGAAAAAAGTAAGTTGAAGCATGCCACATTTCTTCATGTGGATGCCTTAAAAAGGAATTTGTATTTAAGTTCACTAATCATTTGCCATTTTCTCCCTATTTGCTGTGGATTTCTGCAATATCTGAAAGCACTACAGTTTTACAGACTCCCATTATAAGAAAAATCCAATAGGTTTACTTACGCATTAGGTTGTAAATGTGCTTTTCTGCAACATGTTCCGTAAACAGCTTTATAAGGTCATCTTTTAAGTCTCTGTTAAGCTTGGTTTCTATGTAAAATTTATTCTGGAAAATAAGACAGAAGTTTTCAAATTTGTTTTTCATAATAGCAAATAAATTAAACTTACTTTTTTCCCCCGAATAAAAATAGTTCAAAATTTTAAAGCTGTAGAATATTTGACCTGTAAAGTGCTTCCTTGGTGACTGCATTTATACTACATAGAACATTCCTGTACAACAAAAAACCATGTATTTAAAAATCAAGAATGCGTGTGGTACTATTAGCAACAAACCTACTTACATACGGGCGTGCATATTTATTTTTTTCCTGTATCTACAGATGTGTCTCCGTATCAATCCAGACTGGGGAGTTTGTAGAAAGAACACTTCATTTTAGAACTTTATAAACACTCTAACAGCAAAATAGGACTGGACATCATGTTTATAACAAAAGAAAACATTTTTACCGATGTCTAAAAGTGATTAAGCCATCAGAATAGGTATGTTACAGTAATAAATCACCAGTACAGCTATCCACTTCTGTGGTTCCTCGATAATCCCAGAGGATAGCTACTCAGAATTAATCAACTGTGGAAATAAGTGATATACACAAATCTGTACAAAACTGAACTACATGAAAATTTTTAGGATTCAATTATCTTGACCCACTCAGTATTAATAATAAATTCACCTCTTCAACTCTCAAAGGAAATTCTATTCATGAGTTCCTTGAGGGCATCTATACCTAATGTACTATTTGGTGTTATTCTTCAGTTTCCAGCCTGCAGTTAATAGTAAGATTTCTTGTCTGTATTTTATTCATAGGTGGGTTTTAAATGCTGGAAAAAAATAATTGTTTCAAGAAAAATCTCTTATTGTTACAACATTAGCATGGAAGTAGAACAACTGAATTCATCTGGACAACTTGTGTAAAAGAGTTGAACAGATACTGTAATAGAAAATCAACTTAAAAAATAATGTACTGGAACGCTTATCCAAGAGATTTACTAAAGGAAGAGGTATCTTAAGGAAGAAAGGTTTTTCCACAGTTTAAATCAAGTTGTTCTCCTATTCGCTAAAGCATTTAACATAATTGGAACAAACCCTCAGAACACTATTAGAGCAATCTTTTTTTTTTTTCTTTGTGAAACTCATTCTTTTGGCCATTACCAAAACTATACACATACCGTAATAAACTGTCCATGGAGAAACCACTTAAATTTTCAAGGCAAGCATTCAGCAGCAGTTATTTACCTTTAATGAAAACTAAACCTGTGAGAACAAAGGCAATCCGAGGGCTGAATACATGCCCCTGTTGAAGTTTAGGTTTGTTGCAATGATAGACAACAATCTTACTAAATTTAAAAAAAAAAAAAAAAAAAAAAAAACTTTTTAACTTCCTACTGCCAGCTCCCTCCCCGAAGCTATCCTACACCTGCAGAGGTTTTATCAAGGGCTATTACTCAGTTGTTTCCCCCTCACCTGGACCCGTTCTTTGAACAGAGACTGACGGAAAAGCTCTGCAGACAGAACAACCTGCCTTGTAAGAAACAACTAGCTTCATTTGTAATATTTTTGGTCAATGGTGAATTGCCATTTGCAACAGAAATTCACAGCAACTGAAGATATGCATCTTCTCGGAAGCGTTTACCTACACACCATACCACAGTCTTTCATCTGACAGCTTCCTAAACCGTTTCCACCTTGAGCTTCCCGACCACACACCGCCATGTCCCCACTGGTGCAACACCCAGGAGTGACCACAGCACCTCAGCACGAGCCTACGGACCTGAATCAAACCTGACAATGTCAAACTAGTGATTCTTAGGAGCTGACAGATGAGGTGCACCCAGCTAAGGAAATAACTCGCTCTGTTCCTCTCCCAGCCTCCAGACCTTCTTACATTAAAAGCAGCTGGCAACGACATGTGCAAACCGATGCTTGCTTTTCTTTAAGAGTTGGAAAGCCTATACCTTAAGTTTCATAACTAGAAAAGCAACAAAAAAAACCCAGTAGTTTCAAGGAGAAGAGTTACAACACAGTACTTATACATAGAACAACTGTAAGATACTCTTCACATTTGCTCACTTGGAAACACCTTTCCAAAAAGATGCTACATTTGCATGGATATAAATAGACAATGACAAAAATCACGTAACGTTAAGTACTTCACTTCCAATCCACAGTGCTGAA